CGCGAGGGGTGTGGCGTACCGCAAAACGGACGAAACAGACCTCCTACGGTCGAAACGGGGGTCCTGTTCATCGAGAGAGGTGTGGCGTACCGCAAAACGGGACTCCACGGGATACTGTTCGTCTCCACCGTCGACATCCTCCAGCCTCCACGGGCTACCGTCGACCTCCTCCAGCCTCCACGGGCTCCTGTTCATCCAGCCTCCACCACGCGCTACTCCACCTGCTACTATTCAACCACCCCTCCACCGTCTACTGTTCATCCAGCCCTCCACACCACAGGGTCCTGTTCAACCACCCCTCCACGGGCACCCCTCCACCGTCTACTGATCATCCAGCCCTCCACCACACCACGGGGTCCTGTTCATCCAGAGGCAATACCACCGCTCACTGTTCATCCACCCCCCGCAACGCTCACTGTTCATCCAATCGATCGGCTTCAGTTAGCAGCAGTAGCGAAGGAATTGCTCGATCGGGTTCAGTTAACAGCCATCGATCGATCGCTCCGGTTCAGTAATGCGTAGCCTGCAATGCAATCGCTCGGGTTCAGTTAGAGCCCAACGCCTCGCACACACGCGCATACGTGTACGAGAGAAACGCGCATCGCTCGGCCCCCGACCTCGCACCGTAACCGGGAACTCCCCGAAATTTTCCTTGCCCTTGCTTCTACCACGTTTTTTCCGTCATGGACGGCCCAAAGAGTGTCATGCAGCTGCGTCTCCGGCCCGCCCAGGACGAGAAGCCCATTTTCTATCATGATTTTTTGTCATAGAAGTAGGAGCCCACCACATCTATGATGATACCGGGTTTTGTCACAATTATCGTCATAGAAGTGTCATATGTATGACAGGAAAAAATTTCGTTCGACCCAAAATGTAACGGATGTGTCTTTTTTTGTAGTGAGGATGTCGGTAAATGATGGAGTTTAAGGAGTTGTTTTTGAATCCGGCATGGCATATTTCATTTTTTTAATGAGGACGTCGTCTCCTTGCTTACCCGCCTGGCCAATGGAAGGAATTAATTACCTTGGTCAGTCAGCGAAAGAAAGAATTGATCCAGTTCATCATCCTAATCCTTCCTATTAGTTTCATTAATTAATTCAGCCCTAGAGTGTTGGCAATCAAGGGCCAAGAAAGAATCCCAAGTCTATCCTATCTCGCCATGGTCGAAAGCACAATCCCTTTCTCTTCCTATACTGAAATCGTCGTTTCTTTCCTCCGCAACTTCTATCGCGGACATGACCCAATCTACCTTGCAAGACAGATTAAGATATAACTTAAGGCTTTCCCAAGCTGGCGCATAACCTCTGGTAGAGGCATTCACCCAGAGACAGAGAAGTGGGAAACCGCGGATGAAAAGAATACCGAGGTCTTTGATAGCAAACTTCTACGCGAGCTTTCTAACTAAACGGAATCTCTTATTCATATGGCATAAAATGGAAAAACTTGATGGAGATTTCTTCTCAATTTCCACGGTACAGTCCCTTTGCATGATTCAGTTCCATTACTTACTACCTGAATTTGCTATATACGAAATTATGACATCTACGGTACTTGTCGTCTACTTCTGGTGGAAGCAATTCCAAAGGTGAAGATAATACTGAGCCGAATAGTAATGAGGGGAATGCAAAATCTAGCAAAGGTAAGAAGGGTCAAGAAGAATAGCAGTGACTTATAAAAGGAAAGCACCGAATAAAAGGAAGGAGATCCGTCTTGATTTTTTGCATGTGGTCAATGCATTTGCTGATTGATAACTATCCAATCTTAAGATGGTTTTGTGGCACGTTACAAACATACATATACAGTCTGGTAACAAGGACTAGGAAGATACGGTCTAGTTTATTTTTTTAGGGGAAGGCTTTATGCAAGATATGCACGTGAGTAGGTCAGTATATGCGTATTTGCCAATAGAGGAAAACACGCAGTAAGTAGGCTTGCTTTTTCGTAGGGATAGGTAGCTTGACAAGGGATGCCTGGGATAGCACATAGGAAAAGTATAGAAGGAAAGGCAGCGGGAAAGTAGCCATGGTCAAGGTAAACAAGTACTAGGTCTTTTCTTTCCAAAGCAAGTCAAGGAAAACTAGGTCAGTCTGGGGGGGGGGGCAATCCTCTAGATCGATACTTCTCTTCCACAGACTAAACCAATTAATAAACAATTTACAGAGTATTCTTGCATTCCTATCTGGTCTGCATCTCTCCTATCGAAACTATAATATGACCTTAATGGAAGGGCCCTGGTTCTGCCTTGCAAAACCGACAAATCCAGAAATTGTAGATGAATTAATCGGGCTTAACATGTGATTTTGTTATAAGTGAACAGGCGTCGTCGTCTAGCCATGTCGAGTTGGGATTAGAGGAGAGAGCTCGAATGGATAGGTCCAGTGAGGCAGGTGTGGAGCACGAAGGATTAAGAAGGTCCTCTCTATTTCCGGAATCAACAAGAAAGACTTAGCAGCCCAAATAAAGTAACCCTTTACCCCTCCCGAGTCTATCGTATCCATAGTTTCAGTGGGTATCGAACTGCAAAGCGAGGAAGCTATTTCAATTGAACGGGCTTACTTTCTTACTTGGTTCTTTTGTAGAACAACCTTGGTATGAAGCTATACGATTCAAACTATATAAGCATAAGCAATTCAAACTAGACATTTCGACCTTCATCCCACCCGAGAAATAATAAACACAGAGCTCGTAAGTTGGGCATAGAGAAAGCGACTCCTGAGATTGAGGGGGATAGGATACTATCTCCTAGCGCATATATAAAACGATAGCTAGTTTTCTACCAGGGGGGATTTCGATTGTAATTTTTACAATTAGCAGTTCTTGCTTTCATAAACTCATAGTTAGTGTAGTTTGGTGTAGTCTTTTTTCTGGGGACGAACTGGATTCGTACCAGATAAGAGTCATGTGTTCCCTTCTTTCCAAGCATCCCTTTGGTTTCGCAGTTCCTGAAGAGAGGCAACCTCTATCTCTTTCTCTACATCTGCGGGCCGGTAGGCCGGCCAGCTAACTCTTCAAATGAAGCCCTTTATCTTTCTAACGAAAAAGAGAATGATGATGATGGCTACCATTCATTCCTCTAAAATGTTTTAGTCCTGTTTTCGGTAGCATACCGATCCTTCCATGTTTACAGAATAGCATTTATCTGTCTGGAGTCCTGCGACTCCAAACGAAGTTTTAGTTCTATCAAATCCTCCAAGCAATTGATATTCTTTGCATTACTATGCATGATTTGCTCTATTCGATCTTGATAGCCTGGCACATTCCCAGGATCCGAAAAGACACCATCAGGAAAAGGCTTTTGCGATCCTAAATAAAATAGTAATGCCCCATTCAAACTGGTATTTAATTGGAGCATACCCAGAACACCGTCCTTAGCATTACTGTCGGGATCGTCAGCTGTTGGCGGAGCTGGATATTTTTCTCAGATTCCAGCTAGGGTTCTAGCCATACTTCTTCGGAAGAGCGCGCCCTCAAGTTGTTGGTGGAATGGATTTGCTTCGATCAGAGTAGAGTGGAAATCTACTGATGGACGAGGCTGTTGCTCTATGCACGGCTGTTCCTGCTCAAGCTGCTCATGCTCGGGCGGTTGTTCGTTAAGGTCAAAGTCATTTCTATTCATGAATGAGACCAGTACCCCTGCCTTGGAGGTGTCATCCTCCAAACGCGAAGGAGTTTCAAGCCCCCCTGTGCCCACGGTTGCACATCGCTCCTGCCCCCAGAGGGCCGGTACCATTTCTTCAATCAGCGTGGCACCATATATCCAAACATATTGTAAAAGTGACGGAATCACTTCAAGTAGTGCTTGCCTAACCTGATCTGTCACGATCAAGGAGGGATCTACTACTAAAGCAGCTATCACAATGATAACTATGAAAAGCCCCCCCCCCATTGATAAAAACCAGAATCAGATGATAGATCAAGTCTTACCGAAATTGGATTTCCTTTTTGTGCCATATGTCGCTTAGACTTTACTTTATTTCCCCTCTGCCCTTTCAAAAGTGGTTACTCCCGATCCGAAGCACCCCTTTTCCATTCATAGAGAGATCCAATCATCAAAATCAATAAAAAGGCCATCATCGAGCAAGAGAACGAGATATTGACTTTTTTTACATCTGTAATTACATTCTCACATTTCTTTTTTGATCTCATGACTTTTTATGCGATCGGAAAACGAATGAGATCAGAAAGGCCATCATTGGGGCAAACAATGCAATAGCTTCGGTGAGAGCAATGCCCAAAATGGCATAACCAAATGATTGTTTAGCCAATGATGGATTTCGCGCCACGGAATGAATCAAAGAATTGAGGACGTTTCCAATACTGACAGCAGCTCCGACACCTATTGATTTAGCACCTTCTAACATCTCGACTCGAGAAACAACTTTTTGATCATGTTTTCGTTCACTGTTTATTTCCAGGATTTTGGGTTTATGATTCAAAGTACTTGGGCCTGCACCTCTCCTTCTAATATTGGGTTATGCGGACCACTAATTTGATATGTATTATCACAATTTGCAAGGCTTGTCACATATTCAAGAAAATGAGCCGTGGATTGAAAATCATCAGATATAGGTAATCATCAGGTATAGGTATAGGTAGGGGGTCCGTCAACCCTTGTGGGGCTGGGTGGGGTATCCTGAACTACTGGAGCAGCTCCCCCTTGTGGCTGGGGTAGACTCTCAGCAGCTTGGTTTACGCATGGCACGAAAATCTATCTTTAATAATTATGTGCAAAAAGTCCAAAATAGCCTATTGGGGTTCAGTTGGCGAGAAAAGCCTTCTTCCTACATCTGCGAGTAAGGGGCAAACTTTTTATTAATTCAGAGGTAAGACAAAGTGCTTTCTTTTAAAGAAGCAGCTGGCTCCATCTTTCTTTCGTTAGTTAAGCCACCTTTTTTCTAAGAAGGATTTTTGTAATTCAGGATTAATAGTACTTAGAATACCTTTTTCATATTGAGAAATTCTGTCTAGTGGCATTCGATCACAGAAGCCGTTGACAGCAGCATAAATCACAACAATTTGTTTTTCAATTGGAAGTGGTTCATATTGTGGTTGTTTGGGCACTTCTGTAAGACTTGCACCTCTATTGAGTAATGCCTGAGTCGCAGCATCAAGGTCTGACCCAAATTGAGCGAAGGCGTCCACTTCACGATATTGTGCCAATTCCAGTTTTGAACTACCGCAGACTTGTTTCATAGCTTTCAACTGAGCGGCAGACCCAACGCAACTGATGGATAAGCCAACGTTAATAGCTGGCCTAATTCCGCGATAAAAGATCTCTGTTTCCAAACAAATTTGTCCATCTGTAATGGAGATCACATTGGTGGGGATATAGGCCGATACGTCTCCAGCTTGTGTTTCAATCATGGGCAACGTAGTCGAGCTACCTGCACCTGTCTGGTCCGATCATTTAGCGGCTCGTTCTAAGAGACGGGAATGTAAATAGAAAACATCCCCTGGGAAAGCCTCACGGCCTGGTGGTCAGCGTAACAATAATGACATTTGTCGATATGCCACCGCCTGTTTACTTAGATCATCATATATAATTAATGCGTGCATTCCATTATCACGAAAATATTCCCCCATGGCACACCCTGAATATGGGGCCAGAAATTTCAGAGGAGCAGGATTCGAAGCGGTGGCTGCTACAAGAATGGAATATTCCAAAGCATTCGCTTCTGAAAGAATTTGAACTAATTGTGCCACAGTCGAGCGTTTTTGTCCAATCGCAACATAGACACAATACAATGTCTCACTCTCATTTGTGCCCCTTGAGTTCATTTGCTTTTGGCTTAATATAGTATCGATAGCTATTGCAGTTTTTCCAGTTTGTCTGTCCCTGATTATAAGTTCTCGTTGACCACGGCCTATAGGAACCAGGCTATCCACTGCTTTTAAGCCTGTTTGCATGGGTTCGTGCACAGATTTACGTTCAATAATCCCTGGGGCTTTCACTTTGACATGTCTTCATTCGTGATCGCTTAGAGCCCCTTTTCCATCAATAGGTACTCCCAAGGCGTCGACCACATGGCCTAACATGGCCTTTCCCACAGGAACATCCACAATAGATCCAGTGCGCTTGACAAGATCTCCTTCTTTAATAGCGGTATCACTACCAAAGACAACAATACCTACATTCTCATTCCCAAGATTTAAGGCGATTCCTTTCACACCGCTGGCAAATTCCACCATTTCTCCTGCTTGAATCTCATTCAATCCATAAACACGTGCAATCCCATCTCCAACTGAGACCACTCGACCGATCTCATCCACTTGAAAATTCGTGTAAAAGTTGGTCATTCTACTTTCTAATAGAGTCGTGAGTTCCGCAGCTCTGGGTGAGAATTCCATACTTTAACAAATTAGATGGATGATATTTTGAAGGGAGAAATCTGCTTTCAAGAAAAAAATCTTTACTTCACATAATCTCGATTTGAATTATCATTTGGTGAACCGGGCATCTCGGACAAAGACAATAAAAAGAAGAGATGGGAAGACCCTTCGCGGTCCTACTCCCTGGTCTCTACCTTGCTTACCGCCCCTCGTAGGGGCCAGCGTACCCATACTGAAAATGATTTACTCTTTTTATGGGCGCTTTCGACTAGGCTCTCATTAAGGAATCGGCCCAACCAAGACCGAGATTCCCGCGAGAATTGCTACGCTGCCTGCAGTGAAATTGCAAGAATCACTTTATACGCTATTTCAAAATCGAATGAATTGAGCAACAGTATTTCCCCAGGTTTCCATTGGAAAATGGGCTTTTTTGTATGCAAGTGATGATCGATTGGCGGAGAAGCCACTCCTGTGTGGGGTGGCCGTGAGAATGATTCCGAGTCTTCCTGACCAGACCCATGTGGAACTTGTAAATAAATAGGTTTACAAGTGCCTCGCTGAGTAATAAGATAAGTACCTTTGCTAATAATCCAAAACCTTTCATCTTCTCTTTCTAGATATAGCAGCCAACCCATATTGATAGTGGAATTATTGATCTCCTCTTTCGGATAGCCCATTTTGAATAAGTGTTATGGGTAAGGGCTTGACCTACCAGTTGAATGAAATCTACCGTTCTTTATGCTCTCACTAGCTTTGAACTTGTTTGTACCAGTAATCAAACCCAGAATCTCATTTCCAATTGCTTTCATCGCATAGAGCTAGATGCCGCATCCACATGCCTATTTAGTAAGTGGGGTGTATCCTTGGTGACACTTGAGAAATAATCCTATACTTCCAATAACCCACTACTTCCTCCATGGATGGTACATGGCAGGCATATGCCGGAACTAGAGGCGAGCACTTTTCAATCAATTATGAGAGGCATTCGCTTCTCTGATCTTTAATAAGCGAAGCAACGAGCCTAGTAGGGGAAATACATTCCTTAGGAATTTCATCAAAGCCAGGTTCTCCAATCATAAAAGGGAATATTCCATGGCACAAGGCTTGTTTTTAGGTGCTGTCCTCGGCAGACCACCACAAAAGGTCTGAATCACGCGGAACTTATTTTGGTGCCAGCGAGAAGTAGTAACAAGAACTCCTCCTTTGTTCAATATCAGCCTGGTTTAAGGTCTAGATCATAATGAATATTCTGATACCTTCCTTCGTCCATAGATCAGCGTTATGCTTCTGTCCCGTGATGAAGAAGCATAGAAGAATGGTAAGATAGGATCGTATTAGTGAGCCATGGGAAAAGAGTTTTTTCATACCTTGATTGGACCCACCCAAAAGCAACAGGAATCCCTTTCTTCTCCTTAGTCCTGGCCATGGGCAGCCCGGCCCGGTCGTCCCGACCCGACCCGGCCCGACCTTGTCCATGGGCCGGGTTCGGGCCTAGGTTTTGAGCCTGAAGCCTGGGCTGGGCCGGGCCCGGGCTCGTCGATTTCGCCATTTAAGGAAGAGGCCCGGCCCGTGGCCCGAGGCCCGATGGGATTTTAGTATGATGGGCTGGGCTCGGGCCCGATTTTTAGGCCCGACGGCCGGGCCGGGCCGGGCTTGGGCCTGGGTTTTTTGCATCGGGCTTTGGTTGGCCCAGCCCGGCCCGAGGAATGGCCAGGTATACTCCTCCTATAAGGAAATCTCGTCGTTTCACTCTTCTTCAAGTACCATCAGATTAGTCAACTCAAACGCTGAGAGATTACTATAGAACCAAGGCGGATTTGTGTGATGCCCCAAGACCGGAGCTTCAGATGCCTTCCAGGGTTTCGTCGTGTGATTTGTTTGGTTCTTTGCATTCATCATTGCATCATGTGCATTGCATCATGTCATCATGCCATCATGTCATTTCTTTTCTTAAATCAACTGAATAAATCATATGGATCTTCGGTCCATTTAAACTGAGGGAATTCACGTGGTGATTCTCTTTATAACATATCCTCCCAATATTAGGGAGCTATATTAAATATTTCTTTAATTTGAAATCCACCATAAAACACTTGAAAAATCCCAATGCCTTTGTTATCACAACTCTTGGCCTCTAACTTTGCCATATATCCTTTCGTCATTTTCCGGAGCTCCACCAAAAATTTCAACATTTTTGGTCACTCCTAAAACCTCGTCCCAGTTCAAACCCATTTGAATTAAATTCAAATGAGTTTGCAATCTTTTTTTCGATCCGGTTTTTTCTATTTTTCTCGGAACGAGCATATTTTTGTGAGTTCGGGAAAAATATCCCTCATGCGCAATTCTTTCCCTAACCCCCCATCTTCTTTTCTCTTCTCTCTTTGCTTTTTCTGTTAAAGGAAATAGATTATTAGAGAGAGTGAGAGGGAGCCTGCACTGCTGGCCTCTTAGAATCTCCCACCAGGCCGGCCCAACTGTCTCCTGTTCCCACAGGCCTTCTTGGGCTTAGGCCTGCTATACCGACCCACCTGCTATACTGTTAGACTATGAAGATACAAGATTGAAGACTTCATCTCGTGTCCGGATGGGACTCTACTTGGCGTGGAAGGCAAGCTAGGCAATACGGATATGGATATCTCCTGCTTTGTAACCGACCTTGTGTAACCCTAACCCTCTTCGGTGTCTATATAAACCGAAGGGTTTTAGTCTGTAGGACAACAACCATAACATACAATCATACCATAGGCTAGCTTCTAGGGTTTAGCCTCTCTGATCTCGTGGTAGATCTACTCTTGTACTACCCATATCATCAATATCAATCAAGCAGGACGTAGGGTTTTACCTCCATCACGAGGGCCCGAACCTGGGTAAAACATCGTGTCCCCTGGCTCCTGTTACCATTCGGCCTAGACGCATAGTTCGGGACCCCCTACCCGAGATCCGCCGGTTTTGACACCGACATTGGTGCTCTCATTGAGAGTTCCTCTGTGTCATCGCCGTTAGGCTTGATGGCTCCTACTATCATCGATAGGGATGCGGTCCAGGGTGAGACATTTCTCCCCGAACAGATCTTCGTACTCGGCGGCCTTGCACTGCGGGCTATTTCGCTTGGCCATCTGGAGCAGATTGAAAGCTATGCCCCTGTCCATCAGGTTAGATTTGGAAGTTCGAACTACACGGCGGACATCCTCGGAGACTTGATCTTCGACAGATTCGAGCCACAGCCGGGTGTGCCGCACTGTCGCGATGGGTATGACCTAGCTCTGCCGCCGAACAGTACCCCAGAGGCTGCGCCCGCATTAGCTCCGACCCTTAGCTCGGAGCCAACTGCGCCAGTCGAGGATGGGTGGTCAGACACCGCCTCAGGGGCTGCAGTCTCAACAGCGATCGAGCCGAACACCAGCCTAACCCTCTGCGCAGCCCGTGACTCCAAGGTGTCGGACTCTTTTCTGGACTCCGAACCATCCGCGCCCCTGCCAATCGAATCCGATTGGGTGTCGATCATGGAATTCACCGCCGTGGATATCTTTTAGCACTCGCCCTTCGGAGACATTCTGAATTCACTAAGGTCTCTCTCTTTGTCAGGAGAGCCCTGGCCGGATTATGGCCAACAAGATTGGGATGCAGACGACGAAGAAATTCGACGCCCACCCACCACCCACTTTGTAGCCACTGTCGATGATTTAACCAACATGCTCGACTTCGACTCCGAATACATCGACGGTATGGACGACGATGTAGGAGATGAACATGAACCAGCACCTATAGGGCACTGGGAAGCCACCTCGTCATATGACATATACATGGTGCATACACCCAAATAAGGCAATGGCGATGGGATAGCGGAGGATGACCCCTCCAAGAAGCAACCCAAACACCGACGTCAGCGGCGCCGCTCTAAGTCCAGCCAAAGCAAAAGTGGTGATACCGGCACAGGAGATAATAACACTCCGGATAGTGCCGAAGAAAACAACAAACCCCTCCAGCAAGATTTAGAGCAGGAGGATGGATGAGCCAGCTCTCCTGAGAGAGCG